CTCACACATAATAAAAACTAAACTAATCAAAGCAATAAAACAAGACATGATCAAAGGAATAAAATAAACAACTATGATTAAGAGAAGAGAAACCGTTACTAAAATAAATCTGGAATTCAGAATAGAGTTAAGAACAAAAGTATAAGAGATAGAAAACTAATCTAAAAGCTAAGTAGAGAAAGAGAGTCTAAGAAAGAAATGAGAAAGAGTAAAAAAAAAGGTAAAGAAAGATACTAAACTCGTTTTACGGAGAAGTATTTATACTCTGTAAGAATCCTAAACTAAAACAAACTTAAACGTCAAAATTAACTCCTAATAATAATACGCGTCCGATCGGGTTTTTCCATCAGGTACGTTTATCGCGACCGGCCGGGCGCGTCTTCGGGCGCCAGCCTTTGCTTCCCTCACCCGGCCGGGCGCGCCTCCGGGCGCCAGCCTCTTTGGCCGGGCGGCTCTCTTGGGCAACTATTTGGACTACGATTGGGCTCTAATTCTTCGGGCAATCTGGGTTTCTTCTTCGGGTCTTGAATACTTGGTCCAAATGCCCTATTATCACCTATATTGAGCCCTTAATCACCGGTTCGATGGCTCTAACCGGCCCTGTGCTATAAAAACTAATCATGCTTCTCCAGTGCTCGTAATTGCTCCATTAGAAATGGGAAAATGCTCCAACTGTGCAAATCCCTGCAAAAGTCAACCAAATCTACGAAAACACTAGAAAACACTAATTAGTAATAAAAGTGTCTCTAAAGAGCCAAAAACACTACTAAATATGATCAAGGGATGGGGGTAAAATACTATATAAATTAGACATATCAGTATGAACATGTTTTACGCCTAATTAGTAATTGGACAAGGCTCTAAGATAAATTGGTCTTAAATATGGGTTTTAACTTACTTCATAATTCTATTCATAGTCCATAAACGCTTCAACTTTGATCTAGCATGAAGAACGGATTTTTGTAACATCATCGCACTTCCTTTCGGGACAAGAGGCCAAAAGTAGGTGTCCACACATGAAACATGCTAAAATAGCTTGACCCATATGCGTGCTACGATTGGTTAGCAAATATTGCCGAACCATGCAAAAAAGAAGGCTCTTCACTTATAAACATGGAAAGACTTTGATTTTGATCTATTAAAATAAAAAGATGCGAACTTTCTAAAATCAACCTCGGTGCCATCAACTATGACTTTCAAATCATTTCCTTTAAGGTTAAAAAATCACTCAAAATCTTTATAGTAGTACTCACTTATTGTGGGGATAATTGATAAATCAAAGGAAGTAAAACCAAGAATCACACTAAATTTTCTCCGACAAAGGGCTAATCTCATCATCGACAAATCTAAAGGAATGGATATTGGAATCCCAATGTTCTACGGCAGCGTAGATAAAGTCAAAATCAAGATCTACCCCTTTTATGCCAAATAAACCCCCATGTGAAAAAAGTAAAGCTATTTCCTCTCCTTAGTGGTTAAAGACCGACACCACTCACGGGTTGCTTCACAAAAATTCCAAGCCAATAGATTGGGAATTCAAAAATATAAATTGCTATTTGCTTGAAATTGTGATGGAACCGGCGTATTAGGGGGCTTTTTGTAGACACATCAACGCAAAAACGAATTCTACACAAATTCGGAGATATCAAGACCATCGCGTCGCGATAGGACGATTGCATCGCGACAAACGTATTGCGTTGCAATAAAACTTTTTATCTAGCGCTGCAACACGTTATCTAGAGCTTGTTAATTAATTTGACTTTGACTCGAATTTGTACTTCGATTTTTTGGGGATATTCAGAATTTAAAAAATTTATCCAAGGCATATTGCGTCGCGATAAAATTTTTGGTCCAACGCTGCAACACGTTATCCGGAGCCTATTAATTCGACTTTGACTCAGATTTGTACTTCGATTTTTCGGGGGAATTCTAAATTTTGAAAATTTATCCAACTCTATTTTGTAAATACAAATCCTCATATATTCATGATGATTGGAAGAAATTATTTTAAGTCTTAATTATTGTAATTTTATTTTAATTTACTCTATTTTCTTTTTTCATTTTTTTCTTTTTGAGGGAGAAAGTCGGATACCCTCCAACGAATAAAAATGACGCAAATTTTGCGCAAATTTCTCACAAAGCTCACACACTAACATGCACAAAATAAAATGTAAATTCCAAGAATAAAATTTGCATAGTAAGTCTAGTGTACAGACATCATGCCTAACATAGTCATAAATCCACGAAAAAGAAAAGTTCCATATAGTAAAAAATTACATAAATGAAAATGCATAGGTACAAAGCTATGGCGTCGGAGGATGAATACCCAGAGCATCATAAAACTGCAAGGTCCGTAGGGTCACTCCCTTGCCATCATCTACGCCCCAAGCGTCGGAATAGAGAGTGTAGGGCCAGCCCATCGCGTCTTCTACGGTTCCTCCTGCTGCGGCTGTCGCTACGACGAACTCGCCCATTACGTCCCGCCATCCATGAAAGGAACCAACTTCAGATCACCCCCACCAGGTGGCATCGCAGACATCCCCTCAAAGGAAGAGCCAGAATCATCTAATACTAAAGTATGAACCAAACCCTCTTGTCCCTTCTGGTTCTTAGTTGAGGTACGACGACGACTAAACTCAGATCTCTCTCTCATAACCTCTGGCCTTGAACGAGTACACGTCAGAGGTGCAGGCTGAAATGAGATAATAAGCCAAGTCATATATACAGAGAAACAAGTAAACAAAAATAATGCAAGTGAAGAGATATACCAGTGCCACATTACCATCACGACGACATGATGCTCGATGGCACAACCTCACGAGCTGTCAAAGAAAGGTGTACATAGTTGCTGCCATTCTCGTCACCACCTCGCGTGTGAACTAAAAAAGTAAAAGATTATCGAGATACACATATGACAAAAAAGGCAAGAGATAACTCACCTAGGTCTGACGTCGGGGGATCAACCTCTCTGCCAAATGCCACTGCTTAGGAACTGGGGGCACCATCTCCTCGATCGGCCCATATGTCCTCTATATGTGATGGATATATCGAAGGCACAAACTCCACGGTCGCTGCTGCAGCATGAAAAAGTAAACTCCAACAACTTAAAACTGTTGAAGGCTACCAAAAAGGAGAAATTAAAGGATATAAAGACGCACCTCATCCCCATCTAATATGCAAGGTGGGGGAGCCAACTACGACAAAAGCCGATCGGCATACAATCGACCTGAATGGCTAAATCTCCACCAGTCCACACCAACCAGCGTCGAATTCATGTGAGTCCGAAGGCTGGTCTGGTCCATCATATGCGCAAGAGGATGGGACGGAGCGATGAAGACCTCGGAGGAGTGCTGGACTGCAACTCTCTCGCCCAAGTACACTACATCATCATATGTGCATTGGAAGTAATGTATATGGGATGTGTACTGGTAAGCTAGTGCAAAACTGTCCAACCCCACCCATGGATGGTAGAGGACCTTAGGGGCCTCTAAAAAGAGCATCCATAATTCTCTATCCTACAAAAAAATCAAAATAAATAAAAACAATGATCCATACCGAGAGAAGCACCTCTCTCACGTGCACAGTAGCAACTATACGAGGATAATGGCCTCCCTAACTGGTAGCAATGGGGAACCCTCTAGGCAATGACCTGGTAGGTGCCAAGGTTGGGCCGGGAAGTATATGTAGAACCAAATCTGGATGACAAAGAAAGTGTAAACATCAGTGAAAGCCAATACACACAAGACGCTTATTTCGACCAAACAAAAATAGAGTATACCTTTACGATCCTCAAGAAGCTAGAAAGTGTGACCTTCTCCTCAAGGCTATGCTGGAAACAGGTGAGTCGTAGCCCAAGTAGGAAGTCAACATAGGCTAAGCAAGCTCAATTGAAGGTCCCGACCAACAGAAGGTCGCGGAGAGCAGGGGGGTAGTAAAGCAGTGCTCGACTATCCTTGTCTAGAGAAAAGGTCCCTGACACGAGGATCAGAACAAAGATGCATACCCACTGCTCCGGAGTGGTTGCATTATCTCAAAAAGCCACCACCAGCAAGGACCGGCAGATAGATCGACGACTGGTATGTACTGATCCAATCTCGACGCAAGCCCGAACAACGATAGGGCCTATCAACTCGTAAACCTCCGGGGAGGAAAGAGTAAGGTCCCTAACGAGAGGAATTGCAGTCAACCGGAACTCTAAGCCGGTGATGATAGAGAAGTCGAGAGTAGGGCTCAGCAGAGTGCGGTCTAGACAGCACCAAACCGCAAATCAATATTGCGGTTTGGTGCGGTTTACGGTTTGGAAAGTACGGTGCGGTTTTCAAATTTGACCAAACCGCGATTTTGCGGTTTGGTGCGGTTTCAAAATAATTTTAAACCAAACCGTACCGCAAACCGTAATCGTAAACCGTAAAATCAATAAATATACTTAAATTTAAAAATAAACTCTAAAAATAAAAAAAATAAACAAATAAAAAAAATAAAAGATCCTAAGATTTTTTAGGGTTACTGATTTTATTTTGCAAAACCTAGTAGCCGACATATTCATCTCTTATCCTCATCTTAGTCACTATCCCTCTTCTCCCTCATTTTTCTTCCTCTCTGACTCTTTATATCAATTTCATAATTTCTACATCTTTTTCTCCTTCAAATCTTAATTATTGTGAGATCAAGACCATTGATTTTCAAACAAATCGACCACCACATCCAATCATATTGTTAATTGCTCGCCTCCAATACAATATTCACAGAGAAATAATTAAATCTTTGTTTAGAAATCTATAATATTCATGTGTAAATCTTGTGTTTTACATGATCAATTGGTTATAAGCATGCGTTTTATACATAGTATCAAATTTGATTTTTTTTTTTCATTTTATTATTTGTTTATAACCTCTCAAATTTACAAGTCACAATTTTAAAATTTGTGTATGGTTTGATAGTCTCTTTAATTTTAAAATTTGTACAACTAATTTATTAAATTTTTTTGGTCTAGTTTGTTCGTCTCATACAACGGAGTCGGGTACTGGGTCTTGCAAAGTAAGTTATTACTTCCTCAATTTATTAGCATTTTTCTACAATTGTAAATCATGTTTATTGATTTTACTTCCAACTGATTTATTTTTTATATTTTGACGTGTAGATGTCAAGTGCAGAAGGTAGTCCAACTTTTGTTGGGACTCCCCTTGCTGATGATGATAATGAGAAGGTAGTCCAAGAAGGAAAAACCGCAAACCGCACCGCACCAAACCGTATATTGCGGTGCGGTTTGTACATAATTGTGATTTGGTGCGGTTTGAAAAAATCACAAACCTTAATTTTGCGGTTTGGTGCGGTTTGAGATCCAAACCGCACCGTGCACAGCCCTAGTCTCGAGAGGAGTGACATTCATCTCACCCTAAGGAAGATGGAACGTGTTAGTGGTGTGCTAGAAGAACTCCACTAACGCCCGAACAAAGTAACAGCTCGGCTGCATAGGCTGAAGAGCCAATGTAGCCTCGAAAAGAGGAGTCAGGCCGTGTAAGGAGGGTGTTCCCATCGTAGGGGATCCTTCCTTAGATACCCGTGGCCTTTAAAAGCCTAGGACTTTACACTTGTTAAAGTTTATTCGGATTTGAATTCCTGACTGTTGTGGGGGACCTTGAATTAGAATCGATTCTATCATTACGCTTTTTTGTAAGAAACAAGTAGGAGTCACCAATGAGTTTTAGAAAAACCCATAATCCTCGTTCCTGTCTTTCTCCCATGTGGATTTTATGGGATAATTAGCACAAATCGTAAGTTCACCCATGCCCAAATTGGTCTACATAAACCATAAATAAGTTCGGGAGCGAGGGTACTAAAATAACGTTCCCTTTAAAGGAGAATTGCTATTCTAGCCCTAGTGCGGCCTCTACTAGCTCTTCCTTTTTTACAATTTCATCACCCAACAATAATCTATGCAACTTGATAACTAAAACTAAGTTATTTGATTTTATTTACAAGCATTAATCACATACAAATTACATTGCAAAGTCGTTATTCTTTATTTAATTCAAATTCGTGAAAGGAGAAAAGGTAAACAAGATTTGCCTTGGCTTAAGTGGTCAATCAATCAATTAATTATTCAATTCTTATCTTATTTAACGCAATATACTGTGTGGAATTGATTAATTAAATATCCCTTTAAAGTGGTCAAACAACACTATTTTATCGATTAAAGTTCTTTTAAACAAGAAAACAAGATGTGATTTATCTAAGTGCTCGAGAATTTACCGCTTCTCTTTTCTAGATCTCCGTTTTGAACACTTATGGACTCCTTTTTGTTTGGGAACCTCCACCGTAGTAACAAAAATTAAGAGGGTGAGTGCTTAGGACAAAAGGGTTTGGTAGCACAAGTTCGCAAGAGTTTCTGCCAGAATTTTAGGTTATTTTTCTGTGTGTGTAAGCCTTGTAATAAGCCACTATTTATATGGAATGGATGCAATTAGGGTTTTAAGCATTCTTCCGCAGCAGGTGTTGCACGCATCAAGATGAGTTACGCGCGGTATTCCAGCGCAAGTAATTTCGTTGCGCTGCTATGGGCAGCGCAACTGGATGTCTTGCGCGCGGTATTATGGTAAGGTTCGATTTTATATTTTTGCAAAATTCTGAATCTTCCATGAGCGCATCTCTAGCAGTTCTGCTGGGTGTTACGCGCAACTTAATTAGTTGCGCGCGCCAGATCAGCACGACTCATTGAGATGCACACGACTTTTTCTTTGGAAGCATTAAATTTAATATAGGCGCCTCTAAATCCGTCATTATTAAGTCTTAACCACGGGCTTAAGCCTAATTATGATCGGGTTTAGTTAATTGGACATTGTTTGTATTTTTTTTGGGGTTAGGCTAGTCTTTTTGTGTCTTTGCGGCTTAGCCAGTCATCTATAAGTATTCTTCACTTTGATCCAACACGAAGATGATTTTATTTATCGTCATTACACTTCTTGTCGGGACATGAGGCCAAAATTAGATGCCTAAAGTTAGCCCCCACTTTGATCGTGTCTAGAATAGACGAGGATCAAAGTAGCCACGGATTTAAATCCGAGACTTATTATGAAAAATTCTCAATAGAGAATCTTTCAGAAATGTTAAGGATGTCGAAATGATCCTTGATTTGCGAAGTGTTTGAAACAAGTAGCTATCAAGGCTAGAAAAGTATTTTCTAGTATTAAAGTGCTAAAGAATCTAGATTGATCCTTTGCAATTTTAGAACGCTTTTACAAGTAAAGGTGTTTTGGGTGGTGTCATGTCATGAGAAGAGATCGGTTTAAAAAGGATTGAAAGGGGATAATGTCCTTCCAATCATGTCATCGTTGGTCTAAAGTTCCTCGATACGTCATTGAAACTTTCGCTTGATTTTGACAATTTGAAAAGATAATAAAAAGAATGTTTCGGCTTACGCATCCTTCCGGCTTTCGCAGCCTTTTGGGTTTCGCAGCCTAAACATTTCGGATTTCGCAGCAGAAATAGAGTTCTTGACAATTCGCTTGTCAAAACGCAATACTCGATGTCCACAAGATAGAAATACATGTCTCATGACTAGGGATGGCAACGGGTCAGATCTAGAGCTGGTCTGGATAGACCCGGATCCAGATCCGTTTTTCAACCTTGGATCCAGATCCGCCCCGGATCGTTCGGGTCTAGAAAATGAAGACCCAGATCCAGATCCGAAGGATTCAGTGGATCTGGGTCCGGGTCCGGGCCCATAACGGGTCTAATTAAATAAACAAATAAACACAAATTACATAAATTACACAAAATTGCAAAATCACAGAAAAAATATGTACAATTAAACCCACGAAACTGCATCATATAAACTTGATAGAAATTCATCAAATCAAATGCAAACTTGTATAAAAACATCAATAACAAATCTGAAATACTACCTTAATTTATTTGTTCCTAAAAAGTAAACAACAAAGAAACTAAAAAGAGGTCTTTGACTCCGTTTCGATTGCCGCCGATCTGACAGGGAGTACCGGGGTGGAGAGCAGGCTGAGTAGTGGAGGCTGGACAGAGAGAGAAAGTTAAGGTTTGTGGGTTGATTTTGGTTTCTGAATTTTGATATGGGCCAAAATTTGTGACTTTGTGAGTCTTGTACTCTTGTTAGTTGTTAGTTTGTTACTCTTGTATTATAAATTTTATTTTTTTTAAAAAAAAAATAAATTTACAAAATGGATCTACGGATCCGGGTCCGGGTCTGGTAGTTAGACTCGGACCCAGATCCGTTTTTTCAAGTAGGACACGGATCCGACCCGGATCTGTCGGGTCCAAAATTTGAGGACCCAGATCCGTGAAAAACGGATTTGGATCCACTGATCCGGGTCGGGTCCAGATCCACTGCCATCCCTACTCATGACTGGAGACATAAATCCAAATCTAGTGAGAAAGAAAAAAATCGGCAACTCTCTAAGCAGTTTTGTCCACAAGATGAGTACACGTGTCTCAAAACTGGGGGCATGTGACTACATAGGTGCGACATCGTCTTGTCGTTCTTTATACAGGGGGTGGACGACACCCTAACTGTTCAGTAAGCTAGAAAGCTCACTAACTACCGTATTTTCTTCCAATCAAGAAGTGTCTGATCCTGAATGGTTCGGCATGCTCGTCGACTCGTGAGCTAACTCCTAAAGTAAAGTAATTCTCTACCTTTTAGTTCCAAGAGGTAGATCTCGCAAAGCTGGGGGAGAAGTGAAATTTTACGCAACAACTACACCATACAATTTTACGTTGTATGATAACGCCTTGCATTTTTACGTGGCATGATGACGTCTTCCTTTTTGCCGTGGACATGAAAAAAGAAGAAAAGTCGGACATTTATAATGTCAGTACAGTAAAATGACAAACCTGTCATAATGGTAGAAAGGTCATTTAATACCATGGCATAAGTAATTCTATTGTGGCATTTAGTAACCCCATTTAATTATATCTAGAATTCTAAAAAAACTGCTCTATATATAATATGTACTTAAAACACAAAACATTAATATTCGAATAATAAAATCATAAACACTATCATAAATACACTTGTATAGTAGATCTTCATGACTTTTTTATAACTCTGTATAAATTTCTCTTACTACCTTCAGTTTGCATTACTCAAAACAAAAGAATATTTTATATCTCACAAATAATACCCCTCTGTTGTGAGTAATGCCCGAATCGGAGGTTGTATTATGTTGATTATTTAAATAGAATGATACACACATGCTCAAAACGTAAAGGAAAAATTGCATTAAATAATACAACCTTTGGCCCGTTTTTTTTTTTTTTTTTTTTTTTTTTTTTAATAATACAACCTTTGAATATTACAACCTTTAGGGGGTCTCTATTTTAAACAAGACATAATTGGTTGGTAACCTGTTTTTACAGGTTACCGTGACACGTGGCTTTGTTTTATTGGTTTTGTCAATTTAATTAATTATTTTTTAATAATAAGATTTATTATTATTATTATTACTATTATTATATCTCAAAATAGATAAAGTTATACAACCTATAGAAAATAAGTGGGAAGCTGAAATACAATCTAGACCCCCACTCCTCTAAGTATAGAAAAATCGATCCTAGTAAAGATATAAGCTGCAGCATGTGCCTCAATATCCTGAGTCTTCGGGAACTTCTTGATCTACTTCATCAATGCAAAAGCCTCCTTTTTCTAACTTCCCAAGAATAGATAGAGAGAAAGGAAGGAAGCTATATCCAATTTTTTTTATTTTTTTTTATTTTAATATTATTAAAAACCCACCAGCCACCACTTCAATTCCCTCATCACCCAGCATCCACCTTCTCTCCCATATTTCCCATATGCAGCGACCTCCATAAACACCACCCACTGACAAAAATCCCGTCAACTGACAACCCCAATCCCTCCTTCCACCTTCGGCCAACAATCCCTCCTGCCAGCAAAAATCAGACCCACGACCTTTTCGTTTGATTTTTTTTTTTTTGGTGATATTAAAGTTTAATTGAAGAATTTTTTGTTTAATTTGTAAATTTTTTTATTGTTTTTGGCTCAATATTAATTTGAAAAAGAAACTGCTTCAATTAATTTTTGGTTTGTAGGAGTTCAACATTTTTAAATTGATTGCTTTAATATGGTTTTATGAGGTCTGACATTTTGGGGCTGAAAATATGAGGCGCGACTGCTCTGTTCTTTGAATTGGTGGTTGTCGAGGTGGCTGAAATGCACAGTGGCAGTAGCGAACTTGTGGTTTATTGGGTTTCTCAGTTGCTGAGCGGTGCTAGCTGTTAGGGTGGTGCAACGGTGAAACGGTGAGATCAGGGAAGGGGGAGGTCAAGGTAAGAGGGCAAGGAGTGGGTGAGTCAGCCGGTGTTAGGCCGAGGGAGTTGGGCGTCAGCCGCATTGTCTCCAGGAAGTGCTTTGTACGGGGAAGGGGGGAGGAGGTGGCTATATGGTGGGGAAAGTGGTGGCTGGTTGGTGGGTTGGTTTTTTTTTTTTTAATTAGTAATTAATTGAATGTTAGATCTATTAAAAAAAAAAAAAATTGAATGTTAGATAATTTTATCAAAATGTAAAAATCTAAAATTATTTATTAATATTTAGACCAATTGTATAACGACACGTGTAATGGGTAACCTACTTAACGTAGGAGCGGAGCCAAGGGGGGATGGGGTGGGTCATGGCCTCCCCCTTGGCTCAAAATAAATATTAAATTTTGCATACAATTAATAAAAGCTTTAGTGTAGAGGAGTTAGTTTTTGTCATGTGATAGTGAACAAGAGGTAAAGAGTTCAAATCTTGCAACTAACATTTTATCTATGTAGGTTAAATATTAATGCAAAAATAAATCTATTATTGGTGATCACTTGAAGTATAATCATATTAACCCTAAACAAGATTATTAATTATCTATTTAATCGTGATTACAAGTACAAATTCCCTTCAACACATGCATAAAAAGCGTGATCAAGTAATAACAATAATAAACATCAAGCAACATAATAATCAAAATCATAATAATCATCAAAATAATAATAATCATAATAACAATTATAAGTAAAATAACAATCATAATTAAAATAATCATGGTAAAGCATAATAATAACAAGATCCTGGGCATGATACTAACAAGATAAATAATAAAACCTAGCATGTCACTAAACATTAAATATCAAAACTTTAACCCTAACATGATACTAACATGCTATTAGGAAAGAAAATAGGAAGCATTCTTTTAATCATATTTGATATTACAAATTACCCTAAGCATGATACTAGGAAGCAATCAAAACATCCAAACATGATACTAGGAATTAAAATAACAATCTAAACATGATTTCTATATCATAATATCAATTAAACAATTAAAGTACTTACTTTGATGCCTCGTACCTCTTTCTAATAACAAAATACACGTGTTATTAACTTCAAGGAAAGTAATAAAATTAAAGAATTAAATTAAATAATTGAAATAGAGATTTGGGATCAAACCCTCAGAAATATCAAACCTTTCACGTTTAGGGCGAAGGCAACTTCGAACTTGAATAGGTATGCCTAGTACTAACGTATGAAGAATTGTGTTTGTAAAAGGCTAGGCTAGAAAGAGGGAGAGTGAATAAGATTTAGCTTAGAGAGAGAGAGAAGAATTAGAGGATTTTGGTTATTGAAAAACGGAGGTCCAGAGACCCTATTTATAAGAAAATATTCCGGAATCGATAAAAATGAATCAAAGTTCGAAAAGGAATAAAACACCTCTCTGTCGCCAGTGACAGGGCTCGTCGCCAGGCGCTGCGCTGCAGTGCAGCGCCAGGCGACAAACCTGTCATTTGGCGATGCAGAAGGTTTTCCACGCGCTTTCAATGCGGAATCCAATTTTGATAAAATCGAGTCGTAAACTCTGTGTTTAAGGGTAAAATCGTATTTTTATATAAAACACCTCTTTTATTCCAAATAAAACTCATACAACATAATTATCAATCCTAATCCAATTAGGATTTAAAAGAACTTTCTAGAAGATTCTAGAAAACTATAATCAATCCTAATAGCTTTAGGAATGATAATCCATAATATGCCATTCTCTAGATCATTGGGCCGCATATAAGAACCAAACCGGGCCCAGCTTAGTATTTTGTCCATAACTTCCTCATTATCATCGGAATTGGGCTTATAATTTATCGTTGGAAAGCTCTTTTCGAGCCCCATCCAACTACACCATTATTGGACCATTGTCATGGACCAAACTAAACTGGACTGGCTATTTTCATAAAATAGAGCAGGTTTTCGAAAATAGAAAGAAAGGTTTTTATAAAAACTAACCGCAACATTAGACCTTTCACACTTTCACTTCATCCGATTATGATTCGACGCGAAAGATATTCATCACCAGGTTTGGTTTTGGGAAGACACAAATGGGTGTCTACAAGACCCCCTAAAGATTGTAATATTTAGGTATAATCCAAAAATTGTATTATTAAAAAAAACCGGCAAAAGGTTGTATTATTTATTGTACTTTTCCAAACATAAATAAATGAAAAGTAATGCATCTAAATGAAACCATCAAACTAGCAAGCGAATGTTCAGATATGCAAAGGGCAAACACAATTCTCTTTGCCAATATCAGAAGCAACACAAGGAGGTTGATTTTTCCCGTCTTTGAACCGAATCGAACGCTTTTCAACTAGCTCGTCGAGGAAAGTATCCAACGTCTTCTTTGTCATATTAGGCATGACAACTATATGAGCTATGTTCTCTTGACAAGAGAGCTGCCAGTATCGTATAAACTCCTCATCTTGTGGACGTTCGAATACCACGGTGCTGCTTAGCTCATTGAGCATGACACTGACTCCGGCCCCTCTAAGCCGGTCTTTAAGGTAACTGGCTATGATTAGGCAATTTTGAACCTGTTTCTTGAGTCCATTGTATCCTTTGCGGTTCAAAGCATACCATAAGTAGACGGGGGCTAGGCCGTTCCTACTCCCCATGATTGTTGTATCCATTGTAGCTATATACTCTACATTTCTTGATAGAACATTAATGTGTTCTATCCTAACCATTTGAACACCACAAGGCATCGGACTTCCCACAAATTTGTGGCCGGAAACACATACACTATCAATTGGCTTCTTGAATGTTATATGAGGTGCCTATAAAATTGATATGAGAAGATGTAAAAACAATAGTGTGAAAAAAAAAAGGTAATGATGCTTACAAGAAAAATAGACAAAAAACTATAAGACGTATAGTTCCTGCTTTAGATGGTTGGCTACAAGGAGGTGCAATAATTTGAGGTCTTGAGAATTCCACAAGGCCCTTAGTTTAAAAGGCCTATATATGTATGTTGTATGAAAAATGATGTATAAACACAACTACAGTCTATAGATATGATACAAACATAAATCAATACTCTATAATTATTAAAAATCTATTAGTTTTCCAATATGATTATATCTAAATACATTATTTTAATTTGGCAAATCACATCACACGTCCACACGCCCACACCTATGAAGGATTATTATGATCTGTGTTTTTGTTTGATGTTTAGAGAACCACAAGGGCAGGGTGATGAGAATCGATCTCAGAATCTCATCAAATCAAGATGGTTAACGACTTGAGTTATCCCTCACTCTCTGATAGATTATGATCTATAGTTAAGCAAATTACACCATTTTGGCAATGGTGTAAGTCTTGCATGGTTATGGTACGGTAGTTAAGATACGCGTGTGTATGAAATATGATGACTGCGTACTATTGCATTAATATATATATATATATATATATATATATATATATATATATATATATATATATATATATATATATATATATATATATATATATATATATATATATATATATATATATATATATGCTGACCACTAGCTAACAATAGCCATGGTGTAAATTTGTACGTAATAAAAGTGACGTTTATTATTAAGCCGCAGATTGTAAGATGACATTATTTTTCGTCTTCGCCTGGTACTAGGATTCGTCGCAATTAACCATATAAGATGAAATTGTCCAAAAATGCAAGAAAAATGCTTTATAAGATAGTTAAATTACTAACTCGATCTAGGAATGGCAGCATAAGTCCAAACAAGGCTGCATCACAATGGATATAGAACCGATTGCGTGGGAAACCACACTCTTCAAGTGTTTGTACGACTAGATCGATATCATCAATAGCACCTTTTACCGTAGTCCCTGCAACAAGAGACCACAAATGGGTCATACCATCGCGTTTATTTGGTTGATACAAGTCTAATTTTTTGATATCTCATATCTCTAACAAATAACAAAATATTTTAATGTACACTGAACGATTGAGCATCATCATGTACTAGACCTGAGCTTAATTGTGTATCATAACGAAAAGATTGAAGTAAAAGGATTAGTTACCTATGGAGATATTAATGATAGCAGGTTTATCTTTGTTCTTAAGAAGACAATCCTTCAAATCTCGGCAATCAATCACCCCAGAAGCTAGTGTTTCAACCTTAACACAATTCATTCGGTACATACGTGCAGCTTTAAAGACCGAGTAATGTGCCTCTTTCGAAACATACAATATTCCATCAGGAAACATTTCTCTACTGTACAATAAAAATATATAAATAAATAAATTAATTAAGGGTTTGTTTGACATTGATTTTTTTTTTTTTAATTTTTTTTTTAATTTTTTTAAAAAAATCAAAAACATGAAACAATTTTCAGTTTTCAAAATATATTATCATGAATTTAACAAGTTTGCTTTATTGTTAAGCCATTGTGAGACAAATGTCATATGACTTTGGAAAAAAAAAAAAAAAAAAAAGAAAACTACAGTGATGCCAAACGAACCATAAATTTTACAATTTCACATTGGTCGCTTGATTTTACTAATCAAAACTAAATTTTAACAAGTACATATGTAACTAAATTTTGACGAGTACTCCCTCCGATTTTTTTTATTTGCATCACTTGCAAATGCATAAAGTTTTAAAATAATGAATTTGGTATAATATAATAATGTGAGTGGATGAATAATTTGTATTAAGTAGTGGGGACTATGAGAGAGAAATGATAATTAATTTGAGTGAGGTTTAAAGTAAGAAAGAGAATTAATAAAATATAGTATAAAGTTACTATATATAAAAGGACAAAAGCTAACGAACGCCCCGAAGGCGTTGGTTAAGCTAGCTAAAAGTAGAAAGATTAAATTAAAATAAACATTAATCATATCGATCGATCGACGCGTGATTTTGTCATGTTTTTCAAAATTAATATCATTTTAGGTAATATTTTAAATGTTTATCCAACGCCCTGAGACGTTCGTTAGCAAGATCCATATAAAAGTGATGTAAATAAAAATTAAACTACCATAAAAGAGAAGCGGTGCAAATTTTTTTTTTACAAAAAAAAAAAACATAGGGAGTAAAGATTTTTACTATTTCACTTATTTTCATTAAGGAAATTTTGACAAATACCACCTTCTATTATGTCCATTTTATCAATTACCCACTTCTTTTTTTTTTTTTTTAATTTTGTTTTAATTTGAAAATTACCACCTTCTATTTTCAAAAACATCAACAGTTACCACCTTCTTGCCTCCCAACTAATACATGACGTCATCTTGGCCCCATCCTTTACCTTCCCTCCCTATTTCCCTCCCATTTCTCATTCCTATTTCGATTCTCAACTCCTCTTTCACTATTTTTCCCCCAAACCACCAATAATTTCGTCAATTTTGATTTGGAGGAGTGAAGTGTTAGTTTCTGATTTTTTGGGGGGAAAAATTAAAAGGGGAGATGAGAATCGAGTTAGGAATGAGAAATGGGAGGGAAATAGGAAGGGAAGGGAAAGAGTATGTCCAACATGACGTCATGTGGTAGTTGGTATCGAGGCAAGAAGGTGGTAACTTTTGATATTTTTGAAAATAGAAGGTGATAATTTTCAAAAAAAAAAAATAAAAAAATAGAAGGTGGTAATTGCTAAAATGGACATAATAAAAGGTGGTAATTGTTAAAATTTCCTTTTATTAATTGACCGATTTTACATCATATATATATTAGTTTACTTATACTGAGTTTTACTGATTAAAATTTGATATCGTGCTCACTTAACTTACCCTACAAGTAGGCCATGGAGGTTTCCTTCTGTTCCACCACTCGTAACATATCCCCAATATTCATCCTTCTTGATCTCCCAAAGGCGAGCAAACCAATCTAAAACACCTACTTCAAAGTCCCTTGAGTGCACACCATAGTTGCCCGCAATAAATGGATCACCGGCGTTGTTAATCGAAAATTGTTGCAAATGACCAAGAGCATCATAGTTAAAGTCTAAATTCACCGGATATCCTGTATTCAATTGTTAGTTGTAGCTCAATGAGTTTTATGTTTAAAGTTATGTTAGCTTCATCTTATTTCAACTTGTTTTATTTTAGGGAAATTCTCAACAGTGCCCCCCAACTTATGCTACGCACCAATGGTGACCTCTTTTTTTATTATACAAAATGACCTTACTTAAAAATTTCATCTCACTCATAACCTTATTTCATTAAATATTAACTATGCATGGTAGATTTATATTTTTGAAAAAAATAATAATAACAGAAAAATTAACCGTAACCACCAAAAACAACCCACCAACTGCCCTGCTAGCCACCATCGTTGGCGATGCTACACCAAGTTCCTCCGATTGTCGGCGATGCAACCTAGACTCTCCCGAACGCCGGTGATGATGCGCCAACTCCACCTTAAACACCGCCAAGCCAGATTCCCAAATCCCCGCCCATAACCCTCTTTCCCTCTCCTCCTACTAGGGATGGCAACGGGTGGGATCTGGACCGGGTCCGGATGGACCCGAATCCAGATCCGTTTTTGTATGTAGGATCCAGATCCGACCCGGATCCGTCGGGTCTAGAAAATGAAGACCCAGATCCGGATCCGTCGGGTCCAACGGATCCGGGTCCAAAACGGGTCCAATATATTTTGCCTAATTTTTTGCTAAAAATGTAATGTTCGGGTCAAAAATTTTATTTCAAACTTACATTGTTGGTTATTAAGTTGAACCCCAAATTAACCAACTTATACACTCATATTTTGAATTAAAATTAAAAACAACAAAAAAAATACGATGTTACATATGAGCTAGTGAGAAAACAACGATGGTGTATATAATATGAGCATCCAAAATTCATCTCTTGAAAGGGTTAATCTTTATCATTACTAACATTATCAACATTTTTAATAAAGAAACAAACAATTTTAGTTTTTTTTTAATAGGAAAAATAAAAAAACGGGTCCACTGATCTGGATCCGGGTCTAGGGCCCAGACCCAGATCCAGATCCGTTTTTGTCAGCAGGACCCAAATCCGACCCGGATCCGTCGGGTCCAAAATTTGAAGACCCAGATCCGTGAAAAACGGATCTGGATCCACGGATTCGGGTCGGGTCCAGATCCATTGCCATCCCTACCTCCTACTCACCGTCACCACCACTAGATCGCTGATCTCGGAACCCCGACAACCCCCAAATTGCCGAACCTTCTCCACCACCCTCTCTTGATATCCTTCCCTCTTCTCCTCCACCCTCTCTTGATCTCTTTATCTTCTTCGATCTCTGCCCAGAATCGAAACATCAAACACTAAACCCACCACCTCTCCTCGAGACCTCAACCAAAACCAATCGACGGCGAGGTGCCGAGAATTGAAGGTCAGAGAAGAGATTTGTGAGAATAGGGTTCGGGTCTAGGTAAATGGGTGGTTAGAGGATAATCGAGGAGAGAGTGGTGGCGTTTCAGATGAGAGGGTTGGGTGGGAGGTGGCTCCGGTGAGGGTGGAGGTATTGCTGGCTATATCTGGTGGGGATGAGGGTGTAGGTGGTTGTTTTGCATTTCAGTTTTTTTTTTTTTTTCCCAAAGCTAATCATATAGTTGGGTTTTTTTTTTTAATTAATTAACTCTCATTAATGTCATAAGTGAGATAATTTTTTAATTGAGGTCATTTGTATGATTGAAAAAAGGGGAGGTCATCATTGGTGCGTAGCAGAAGTTGGGGGTCACCGTTGCAAAATTCCCTATATTTTATTGCTAAAAAAATAAATTTTGAATGTATCAAACCAATATAAAATAAATTTAGATTAAATGATTACAAATAAGTTTATGTAGTGTTTGGATAAAGGACTTAATTTCAAGTGCTTTATTTCAAATTTGGAATATCAAATATTAAAATTCAATTCCAAAAATTCTGTTGGGGAAAAATTGAGATTTATACATCCATTATTTCAAATTTACTCTATTGTTTGGATATAATTTGAATTTGAATTTCAAAATTGTAAAATTATTAAATTAGTTTTTTTTATTTTTTTATTTTTTTTTTTTTTTTTTTGGGTGTTTATAAAATTATTAAAATAATAAATACATTAAAAACTTAGTCAGCCCTTAAACACCAAAAAATTTACCAAATTGATATAAGATCCTAATTCTGTAGCAACTTCAGTGAATTCAGAATACGCACGCTACAATGGAGGAGATTAAGAAAGCTCCAAAGCCACTTAAATGGAGGGAGTACTCAACCATAGTTTTTTTAGTTAATTAACTTCATGTTCGTTTATTTAATAAATGAGCCGAATTTGAACAAATTTTGAACTTTTGAAGCTCGTTTGACAAATGGGCTTGGATACGAACATAGATATGCTCGTTCAGATATGTTCATGAATAGCTCGTTTATTTATTTTACGGATTATATGTTCATTTATATTCATGAATTATTGATTATTCACATTTGTTAATTTAATTCTTAAGCTTATACGGTGTGATTAAGATTTAATTATTATGCTACTTTTGAGATTTTCAAATGTCAAAAGTAAAAAGCTCGTTTATTATAAAAGTTCGTTTATTATTAAGCTCATTCATTAATCACTCATTTATCAACTCATTTAATAATTGACGTGAGCCGTTCATGAACCATTCGTGAATATACATTGTACTAAATGAGCCGAATTTGAACAGATTTTTGAGCTCACTTGTAAGCTCGTGATCGTGCTCGGACTCGCCTAATTAATTAAATGAACTGAACATGAACAAGGTATTACTCGACTCAACTCGGCATACATTTCATAGTTAATTTTTTTCAAAAAAAAAGTGTGGTCATGCTTATGATTATAGATTATTGTCCTTAAAATTTCTTGTAACTTTTTTTATTGTGACATAATCAACTTTCACAATATGTATAGACAGTACATATAGTATGGATTATTGTTGTCCTTAAAATTTCTTGTAAATTCTACGTTATCACAAACCTGTTTAAACAGAGAGAGTATTTTTAAATATTAATACTAAACTCTAACCAATTCCAATAAATTTTATTAATATAACACAAACTAGCTTATTTAGATACATTATTAGTCACAGACCTCACAATTGTATATTGGAATTCACTCAAAATACAAATGGGAAAATAAAAAGAGTGAGTATTTTTAATTGTCAATGGTAGCCCCCAACTTGTGTAACACTAAAATAGAAATCATCCTTTTTTATTGTACAAAAAATGACCTTATTTAAGAATCTATTCCCACAAATAACCATATTTAAGAAAATGGTGAATTAAAATTAACTATAACTAGCTAAAAAAATAATAAAAAAAAAAAAACAAAAACCAGAACCAGAACCACCAACCCAACCAAGTGACCGACACCTCCACAACCTCTACCCTCACCCAGCCCCCACCAGACCCAACCCTGATCCATACCCTGACCACGACGCGCTAGAATCGTCTATCTCAACCACCTTTAAAGTTTTTTAATCCAATAAGACTCATTAATGTCATAAGTAGGATAAATTTCTTAATTTTTTAGAATTAAAATTTCTTAATTAAGGTTATTTTGTTAAAAAAAATTTAAAAAAAAAAATAAAAAAAAAGGTTTACCTATAAGTAGGTGAATACAATATAACAACAATTATTTGAATAACTCTATAAATAGGTAAATACAACATGTTTCGGATGAAAACAATCGAATCTCGGAAGATCCTTTTATCTTGAGGGAACTTGGTCTCGGTCCGAACAACGCAGGAGCCGAGGGTTTCCTGCACAACAAATACACGTAAACTAGCCTCGGGGGGGACGCCGAGGAAGGCCCCTCCGATGCTTAAGTCAGTATATTAGAGAGAGAAAGCTGTGCAAGAGTTTAGTTGCTTGAGGCTTTATTGTCTTACCAAGAATTGACCAAATTGTTGGCTTTTATACCTTGGCTAATGAAGGAGGCGGATTGGGCCCGGAAGTCAGTTGGGCTGGGCCAAGCTGATTGGGCCGTTGACTGACCTTGACATGGCTTTGAGGATGTTGATTTTTGACTTTAGCACATTTGGAGAGTTGAACCTTAACCTTGGGCTTTTAATTGGATCATTCAGTGACCAGGCCCAATTGGACTAAATTGGACCCAAACAACTTGCCCCCCAGACCCGATTTGGAAGGATGACGGGTCGGGTTTGATTTAATCAGAAAAGGAGGGAAGTGAATGATTTGTTAATCCAAAAATGTGAATTTAAACCGTAATTAACCCATGATTAATGAGATAACAACAGTTAATGTGGATAATTGCGGAAGTTGGACGGGTAGTGGGCGATTTAACTGCAAGGTCGTGTGTTTAACGGTTACTTAGTGGGGTGCTTGAGAGAAATTGAAACGCAGACTCCCTGAATTCCCATTTCTGGAGATATAAATAGAGGCGCGTCTTCTCTCCCCACTCATTCATCAACACAAACCCAGAATTCTCAAGAACGCTCAAGAGCCCGCATCAAAACTTCGCAAATTCCCCGAGCATTAAGCTTAGAAGCTGAGACTTGTCACTACCAATTCGTAAATCGGCGGCTTTTGCTTCAGATCAAGGTAAATTCCTTTGATTTTATTTCATTTTTCTTCGACTTTGCACTCTTTCCCCTTTTTCGACTTTTTCCTTCGAAATTCGTCAATGGTGAGGGGAGTTAGAGGTGGAGCCCGTGCTCCAAGAAGAGCAAGGCTAATCCCCGATCCCAGGGACAGGATTGGGACCTGGAATGGACGAAGGACAGAGTCTGACCCTGCTGAAGGGGTTAGGGCGACTCCCATTTCTTCGGCTCCTCCTCAGAGGGCTGAGGGGGTGAGCGCTTCAGGACGGGATGATGAAGTTCCCGCTGTCCTTTGGGATATCCTCCAGGGTTTTCAGAGTGGGAGGATGCCGAAGTAGCTTCGGCCATGATAAAGAACCGCCCCTACTCATGGTGGGTAGAGAACGCCGATCGATATCGATTTGCCGAGCAAATTGAGTTGCACTACGGCATTTTTGAAGCTGATGGATATTGGTGCCGAATGCCCTCAGCA